CCACTTCTTGTATAGACTTTCTGAATAATTAAATGTTGTTGGTCATATCGAGGACTTTTCATTGATGCATTTCTTTGTCCCATGTTTTTCCTGTAAATCAGGAGTTAAAGCAAGTGACACTGTGTGTGTCCATCATGAAGTATACATCTGGAAGTTCTTTTGCTTAGCAGCCATTAACTATTGTTGCCAAGATCTATTATTAATCTGGTGGTTACAAAATGGTGATGGTCTAATTTTATCAAGCCTTCTTCATGTATTAGTAGGAATATTTCTACTTAAAGACAGTTCCCTAGCGAATAATTTGGTTCATCTGAGGAAGAGTTCTTATGGGGCAACTGCTTCATTTTGCCCTTCACTAGCTTTCAAAATAATAAGTGGGTTCCTTAGCATTCTCCAAAGGTTATCATTTAAAAAAAGATATAATTTACATACCATCAAAATCACCATTTTAAGGTGGTGAACCTGACAGCAAGTGCATGTAATCTAGGAGGTAAAAGCAAGCAGGTTGTGAGTTCCAGACTAGCCTGGGCTGTATAGTGGAGCCCTATCTCAAAAAACCAGGAGCTAGGGGCTTACACATGGATCTAGGTTTGAGCCTTATCGCTGAAAAAGAAAACACCCCTGTAACCTTACCTAGAATTTACTAGATCTTTACACTTTTGCTGAGTTGTGCAAGCATCACCGCTAGTTGTAAGGCCTCATAAATTCATGAACATATCTGTAACAAGTTTTTTTTTTCTGTCCTGCCAGCCAGCTTGCAAATAGTGACACGGAGACTTATTATTTATGAAACTCAGCTTATATTTTAGGCTTGCTCCTAACTAGCTCTTATAACTTAAAATAACCCATTTTTATTAATCTACATGGGGTGAATTTTTTCTATCCAGTATATTTCAATCCATAGAGTTACTATTCTTTTGGTGTTTGAATTTTCTGAACATTAGCTGGCTGGAATCTTTGAACTGGCCCCGGAGAACTTTCTCTACAGCGTTTTTAAGCTTGAATGCTTTCTTTTCTTTTCTTTTCTTTTTTTTTTTTTTTTCCGGTAGAAGATGTTCCTGGCTCATCCTGTGCTTTTCTATTCTTCAGTTATTTGAGAAGCCCTGATTTCTCCAGTGGAAAATAGCGGCTGAAACCTGGGCACCAGGGTTGCTGCCCATTACTGCCTTTTGTTTGTAGGCCACTGTATTGATTTTCCCTCTTCAGTGGAGCTAGTTGGTTTGGCATGCCCTGTAATTTATAATCCATGAGGTAGAATTGGTAAATTTCATGAATTATACAATGTCTTAGTTAACTAATGATTTGTATGGGAATATTGCTTGAAACATTACTGCTTGTCAACCATTATTTTAAAATTCTTTTCCTTGGGGAAGGCACACAGCTTGGAGATTTAAAAATTCTTACTTGGCATTGATTATAGCCAATTGAAGTCTTACAGAAGATGTCACTTGCTCATTAAGTATAAGGATAGTATAAGTAAGTTTAAGGATCTAGTGTCAGACAAGCAGTTAATTTTCGTAGGGCACTCTCAGATAAAAATACAGCTTTTCTAAGGGGAATTAAAAAACTTAAACATTGGGATACAAAATAAATGTATCATCACAATTTATTCAAGCAAGTCTATATTTGCTTATAAGCCAGTAATAAATCATCTTCTGTTTGGATTTTCATTAGTGACAGATGTGGAGTGAACATCAACCACTTATTTTTGCTCTAATTTTTCTCTGGATAAATGATTGAAAGGCCAGAAATTGAATGATTAAAATAGCCACAAAACCTTGACTGGATATTTAACATACATGAACAGCTCTGAAGGAACAAATAGGTAGGTGTTAGCACACCATCAAAATTCTTTTGACTGCTTTGCTGTTAGCACACCATCAAAATTCTTTTGACTGCTTTGGAATCAGCTATTTTTTAAAAAAAAATTTCTACTATAGGTTTTGAAATATTCTGCTCTCCAGTTTCCCTTACAAAGTTTCTTCTTTTGTATTTACTTAACTTAGAAAAAAATGAAAGCACTTTAAGACTATGTTTTTGTTAGCTGTTTGAGACTCGGTCTATCTAGCTATGTATCTTATTCCTCACCTTCCTGCCTCAGCCTCTGCAGTTCTTGAGATTGCAAGCCTGTTCCACCATGCTGGGCTTTCCAGGAGTGTTTTTTTTTTTTTTTTTTTTTTTTTTAAATCATTCCACACAGCCTCCTTTTGAAAAGTTCTGCAAGGATAACCATTGCATCCTTTTTGTTCCCTTTCACCAAGATCCCACAATCATCTTGGCCAGAAGGCAGAGAATCGATGCCCAAGATTCTATAGTCACTAACACTATTAGAAATTAAGCACAAAGTGTCTGATGCTTTATCACCTGAGGCCTGATTGACAAATGTTTTCAGTAATCTTGGGTACATTCAAGGTTCCAGTGTAGTTTCATAAGTGATGTTGTTTTTAATGCTAGCTCACCTCCTGCTCCTTTTTGGGTGCAGTTCTGGCTACTAAATCCAGGACCTTGCACATAATAGGCAAGTACTTTGCCATTGAGCTATACCCCTGCTACTTTTCCTGGTTTGAAAACTAAAACAAACAAACAAACAAACAAACAAAAACCATAGTTGACTTTATTTGTGCAATCACCAGTTCTCATTTCACTTTAATGGAAGTATATCTAATTTAAGCAATAGAACTAGACCATCCTTTCCCTTTCCCCATCAAAGTTAAGTTTCTTTACATGTCCCAAGTAATCACAAAGGGCTCTTTGACACTGACAATACCCAATAACTTGTTGATCTTGTAAATTGAGGTGGCATCTTTTTTTTTTCTCCTTGAACACTCTTTTCTTAAGTGCTTAGCCACTGATAGAGTAGTTGGTGGTAATAATGGAAAACCTGACAAGAATGCTGACATTCCATCTTTCTGTTCTTAACCTACTGTTTGTGGTTGTGTGGCTGATGTACAGATTCCCTTCTGGGCAAACCTAGTATTAAGGGGAGGGCCATATAAAGTACTTTAAACACTGGTTATCATTTACAAAACTATATTAATGTGACTACATAAGCTACCTTACACTCCCTCCCACACACACCCCAAGATGAGGTCTCACTATATTGGTGAGGCTGGCCTCCAAGACTTATACTGAAAAAAAAATCTTCTCAGTTTCCGGAACATTGGCAACTTTTTTTCCCCAACCTTTTCAGATAGTTTTCCTGTGTAGACCAGGCTGGCCTGAATTTTTGATATTCCTGCTTCAGACTCCTGAGTGCTGAGATTAAAGGTGTATGCCGCACCTGACCTTTTCTCGTTTCTTGAAGTAATCTTGCTTATTTTTATTTTTATGTGGATACACATGTATCATAGCCTGAAGGAATTATCTACAAATGATGAAGATGGTGTCATTTATATTTGAAAGAAAACATGTTTGGTGGCAGGAAGCTAAAACTCAGAGAAGAAAATGACTATCTGGTTATTAGATCTACTAGATTCCTCAGGAAAAAAAAGTGATGGAACAGTTCACAAATTTATGCCATTCTTGTCCAGGATCCATGCTAATTTCTATTCAAATCTTAGTGTAGATTCTACCTAAGGGAGTCTCCCACCAGTAGCCTGGTCTTGCCTTAGCCTGTAGATTTTGGACTTTACTGGTTTGAGTTATACCTGTCTCAGAGGTAGTTCTTAGACTACACGTTTTCACCTTGAAAAAGCTTTTTATTATTGTGTTTGGTAGAACAATTTACATTTGTGGAATTAAAATATATGACCTCCATGTTTAAAGGCATTTCACACCAGTATGCTATTTATTTGCTTTATCATTTTTATGTTCTGTATTATTTTAAAATGTCTTAACTAAGGTAAAAGCTATCAACATTGTCATTGTCAGTATGTCAAACTGGGGGTGGTGGCACATGCCTGTGACTCCAGCACTTGGGAAGCTGAGGCAAGTTTATTGTCAGGCTGGACTATATTATATACCCATTGTCTTACATCCCCCAGTATCCCACAAAAAAGTTATAGCATGCTAGATTCTACATTAATGTACATTATGTGTAAAATACCCATTTAACATGTTCCTGGTAACGTTAAAGTCTCATTTTAATCTTCAATTCAGTATAGGACTGTAACATAGACTGTCGAGGTGACACATGCCTTTAATTCTAGTTAGTGCTCAGGAAGCAGAGGCAGGAGACGTTGAGTTCTAGGTCAGCTTTGTCTGCAGAGGGAGTTCCAGGACAGCCAAGGCTATACAGAGAAACCCTGTCTTGAAGGGGGAAAAAAGAAAAAGAAATGTAACATAGTAAGTAAGTAAGAGGAAAATATAAAATTCTTTTTAAGTTCATATTTGTTGACTCGCATGCATTTTCCCTTTATCTTCTTAAACTCTAAGAGACTTGTTTAAGAGTTTTATTTTAAAAAAATCGTTTTCTCGATATTTATGGCAGAATGTATAACATGATTATTGACACATACATAAGTTAAACTTTATACACTCCAAATAAATGTTAATACACGTCTAGAAACTATACCACTAAAAAATTCCTGTTCACTCCAGTGTGATATAGTCTTTAAAATGTACCCCTACCAGCCTGATTTGACCCCCTGGCAGTTTATTTATTTAAAAAAAATTAAAGGGTTCAGTAGTTGTTTTAGGGACCCCCCCATTAAAATTGGTAAGCCCATTTTCATTTTGTTTTAAAAGTCGTTTTTTAAAAGGAAGACAGGAGACGGCGGGGGTTGCTAAATTTATCTTCTTCCCCAGGCACCGGGGATGAAAAAAAAAAAAAAAAAAGAAACATTTACAGCGGGAGGGGGTCTGAGGGCCTGCTAACCACTGGAGCCACCGCCTCAGGCCAGGACCCTCGCGGAGAGGCGGTAGGTCTCCCTGGAGGCCCCAAGGGGGTGGTTGCGGCCCACAAACATGGTGGGGGGCGGCCCGGGCCTCCCGCCTCTCGACGGGGTCGGCGGACCACGGCCTCGTGCGGACTTTACAGCCGAGGCGGCGGTAGCAGCGGTGTGTGTGTGGCGGCAGTGGCGGGCGGGAGCGCGGAGGTGGAAAGAAGGGGGGCGCTGTCACGGAAACACGGGCCGCCGGAGACCCCGCCGCAGCGAGGCCACTGGGCTTCCCGGTTGCGGGGCGTGAACGGCGCCAACCCGGGGCGTCAGAAGGACCCACCGGGCGGAGGAGGGGGCCCATCTATCCTTCCGCATTTTCCTGGGTCTCTCTCCCCGGCGGTGACGTGACGTGCTGACGGCGGGCCCGTGCCGGGGAGCTGGGCCGCTTTTTGTCAGCTCCGAGCTCGGCCCCTCCTCCCTCCCTCCGCCCGCCCCACCAGCCGGAGCCCGGCCCAGTGCTCCAGAGAAAGGCCGGCCTGCAGCACCCGCCACCGTCGCCGACCGCCGCACGCCCGTCCGGTAAGTTTGGGGTGCCGCTGCGGCGGTGGGGCCTAGTGCGCGCGCGGCGGCCTGGTCCCGGCCTGGTCGGCGGCCCGCAAGGCGCCCTCCCGCGCTAGGCCGGGCGGCGTGGCGCGCGACGCCGTGCAGGCCCCGAGGAGGCCGCAGTTAGGCCTGGGGTGGCGCCCGGGTGTTGAGAGCGACGGTTGAGGCGCTCTCTGTAAACGGGCGGGGGCCGGGGCAGTGTTGCTCGGAGGTTGGGGAGGCGGTTGAGGGGTCTTGGGTGGGCGACGCGGCCGACCCGGGGCACCGTGAGGGGGCGAGGCCTGGCGAGGAGGCTAAGGCTGCAGGCATGAGGTGAAGGCCGCAGGCCGGCCCGGCCGATTTTCGCTATGTAAATATCGGCGAGGGGGGGGAGAGGGACGGGGGACAAGATGGCGGCCGATCGGCGCCTGCTGCAGGGGACGACTGAGGGGGTTGCCGGGAGGGGGAGCCGCCATCTTGAAGGCGGCGTCTGAGGAGAAAATTCCGCTACAGCCCGTGAGGGGGGGTGTGAGAGCGGGCAGCGGCCGCGGTGGCGCTGGTGACGGGCACCGGAGCACGGGCGCGGCGTCGAGTGTGCGCGGAGGGGCGTGTTCGCTCCCCATGGCGGCCATTGCCCTCGCCGCCATGATGAGCACTTGGATTCCAGGCGCTTGGCGGCAGCGCCACCTTCCTGCCCAGCCTCCTACAGCCCCGTGACTGGTTGCTGTTTCCGCTGCATTTCAGCCTAGCAGCCGCAGGCGGCCATCGCGCCGGGTCTGTATTGCCCCGGGGCTTCGAGCCTTTCCCAGGCGTTTGCTGCCGCTTCAGGGTCATCCGCACCGGTGGCAGTGGTGGAACCGGAGACATTTTCTTTCTTTCTTTCTTTCTTTTTTTTTTTTTTTTCTCAGAGAAAGCCAGACATGGCCGTTACGGTGACCCTGATGCGGTTGTTTTCCGCCAATCGTTGCTTTCACGAGTCTGTGAATAAAGAAAGAAAATGATGGGAAAGTTCTCACCACTCTTTTGACCAATAGGGGGAAAAAGGCATCCTACGAAAGCGGAAGACTAACTGTCGGAGGGAAGTTTTTGTATTTCTGTCGAAACCAGTTTCTTGGGAGGCTGCGTTTACATTTTGGTACATACTTTTTTTTTTTTAATTGAGGGAAGTTAAAGGGAAGGAACGTTATTTTCTTAACAACGAATTGTGATGTATTATTAGCTAGCGTACATTGATGTGCTGTGGTAGATTATTTGTGAAGTTTGAAAGTGGAATTCTACCCCGTGAAAGTTGTTCCGATTGCACTGAGCACAACTTTCCTGGTGAACTCGGAGTCCCCGTGTTAGCGGTGCTTGGTACTAGGTGCTAAGAAAGATGAAGGAGGTTCTTGTACGTGCTGGCTGCAGGTTCGTTCCGAGGCAGATGAGCGAGGGCTGAAATGCACCAAGTGCTGCGAAGGCTCCATCCGAGCGTTGTGGGTTTTCAGAGAACGTATGGTTTCCATTTGAAGCATCAGGGAAGGGTTCCTGAAATAGGTGGCATTTGAGGTTACAGACCGGGGCGTTTTTTAGGTGGTGGCCCAGACAGGGAAAGGGCATTTCAAGGGTGAAGTTTCTTCAGAGAACGGCAAGTATTTACTGTTTGGGCTGAAATGTAGATAGCATAGGTAGGGGCAGAGGAATCAAGGCTTGGGAAGGTGGTTTGCATTGTGACTGACGAAAGGGTTTTCTGCTCCTGGGGAACGCAGCAGGGAAGCCTTCAGACTGGCAAGATGAACACACCCGGATCTGTGCTCAATAGCTATCACATCGGCTAGGATAAGTTGGAAAGAAGTAGGTTGGCTAGTGTTTTCACCGCGATGACGATTACAAAGAGTGGTCAGACCCAGATTTTATTACCTTTTAAAAAGAATTTTTATTACATTTTGATTGATCTGTTTTCATTAGACAGCTGCTCTCTTTTTCTGTACTCGCTGTAAATAACGTTTTGCTCAGGATTAATATTTCTGTGGTAAATAGAGAAGGGCTTGCTATAATTTCACTCACTATCGTTGAAAATTAAGACTGGGGCAACTTGAAAATGAGAAATGAACCTACAAGTGTTTCCATGGTAATTTTTTAGGAAGTCAGTTTTGAAAAGTAGTTTGGAAGGATGATTATTTTAAAAAAAAAGTGGCTTTCTGATGCCCTTTGCAATTTGTTTTTCTCCTTGCTGAGAGTAACCACTGTTTTGTTTGAGAGGCTAACTAAGGTTATTTGCTAAGGCAAGCCTTCCTTCGTTTTATTTTTCTTTTTGATTAATATTTGACTTATCTAGATGCACATGTGGGAAATGTGTTTTAGAATTTTATGATACAAACCTGTAGGTATGATACAAATGTAGGTATTCATTGTTAATGTTTATACTTTTGTAGGAAGCAACAGGTTGGAAATAGTGCTCCCAGAGAGCATGGAGGGACTGGGAGAGTGTTTCATAGAGGCCATAGCAAACTTTTATTAATGATATTCTCTTAAGCTTGATATACCTTTGCCCCAGCACTGGGAGGCAGAGGCAGGCAGATTTTTGTGAGTTTGAGGCCAGCCTGATCTACATAGTGAGTTCCAGGACAGCCAGAGGTGCATAGTGAGACCCTGTCTAAAAGAAAAAAAAATCACATTTGAGAAAACTAATTTAAAAAGGCTTTTAAGATGCAGTTGTTTTGGGGGGGGTTAAGAACAGTCACAATTTATAATATATAGTGTGAAATTGTTAAGTTTAATTATTACAGTTAAGTAGTTCTTTATACAAATCCAGATAGTGTGTATTCAAGATTGAGATGAAATTAGATGATTTAAATTGTATAATTAGGAAGATTGATAAGTATATAGCTTCCATAAGGAATGGTTATATACAAAATTATTTTTACCTTAAAGGGCCGATCCTGCTAGTCTGGAGAACTAACTGGTGGAACACGATTGCTACCTTATTCATCTTGGATAAACAAGATGCTAGGATTTTATTTATTTGTACTTTCCAAATAGATGGCTATTTCCTTTCTTTTTCTTTCTTCCTTTTTTCTTTTTCTTTTCTTTTTTTGGATTTTCTTTAAAAAAAATGCTCGGGTATACTTTCAAAGACATTTCCCCCTGTACTTACTGTTTGCTGTAAATGTTTAGAATCCAGTATTTAGACTTGCACTGTCACTAATAATGTATTGTTTATGCTCGTGCACATGGGCAATTCATTTTTTTAAACTTAAAAAAACCTTTAACAGGCTTCTGAAATCCTTTACCCTCATGAAAGTTCTAATTTTTGTTTGTTTTGAGACCCAGTCTCATTAAGTAGCCTGGCTAGCCTCAGTCCCCTAATTCACCTGCCTCAGCTTCCTGAGTGCTGAGATTCAGGCTTGTGTGTTGCCACAAGTGGCTTAGATTCTTTCATTTTTTTACCTAAGTGAAAAGTTATCTGGTTGTCAGTGTCTCTTCCTGTTTGTAATTTTTCTGTTGTAGGCTTTTCTCTTTGCCTTTTGTCTCTATGTAAGGATTGCCCCACCTCTGTCTAGCCTTGCTGCCTGGGCACACCTTGGCCTGCCTCCTTGGGATGGAGCTCTGTTGATCCAGTCTCTTTGGTTTATTTTATCTTGTTTGTTTGTTTGTTTGTTTGAGACAGAGTCTGTCTATGTTGCCCTGGCTGTCATGAAACTCAGTATGGTAGACCAGGCTGGCCTCAATCACAGAGACCCACCTGCCTCTTCCTCCCAGTTCAGGGATTAGCCTTGCCTGATGCATTCTCCTTTAGCTTTGCTGGTGCTTTTTCCTGTCCTTACAAGTATTCTTGGTTTTGCTAACTGTACAGAAACCTCATGTCTTCTCTTTCTTTCCTTTAACCAGTACTTTTCACTTCACCTTTTCCTAAATCCAATAATTCCAAGTCTGAAAGTTTCTACCACATGCTAATGGGTTTGTCACATAAAAGTCTGTTTGACATACTCCTTTGCTTTCTTTCTCTTTCTCCTATGGAAGGATTTTCCTCAAGGTTTATCTGCCAGTTTCTTTCTCTCTGGAATCTTCTCTGCTAGTTCAATGTGTCTTACTATGCCCACACATCTAGTTTCTCATCCAGGGTTTGAAGTATCTAATGTGTCTTAACATAGCTGTAAACAAACTTATGTAGCATGTAGATGACCGATACTATTTATAGGATTTTTTTTTTAAGCTCAGGGCCTCCAAACATCTCCTATTTATTATTTTTTTTCCTCCAGACAGGGTTTTTCTGTGTAGTCCTGGAACTCTGTAGACCAAGTTGGCCTCAGAGTCTGCCTGCCTCTTCCTTCCAGGTTCTGCGATTAAAGGCATGTGTCATTACTCGTACTCTTATTAACACCACCAGTTTTCCTGAGTTGTTGTTCTTTGTTCCATAGAACAATGTAGACATCTTTAATTTAGTTTAATTTAGTTTTAACAGTATGTGTGTATGTATGTATGTGCGTTTGTCTTCTAAATCGAATATAGAGACAGTTTTCATTTGTCTTTGTCCCCAAGCAGTACCTGGCATATGGTCATTATCTCCCCAAATAATTCTGTAAATTAATGGGGGCAGGAAATTTGGTTTAAGTTGAATTGTTTCCAGCTATTCAAATTCAGTTATCTATCAGGTATGTTCTTTGACCAAGGGATATTCATTTTAAGGCACACCTATCTTGTTAGGACAGCAGGTCAAACCCAGGTGCAGAGTAACCTCTATCCCTATCCCATATCTGATTGGAGTATGGCCAATCTGCTCTTACTCCTGCCAAATTGTTTTTCCAGACAGCATTTTTTAAAATCCATGTAATTTTAAAACTTTTTTTTTTGTTCAGCAGGAAGTATACTTTAAAGAAACTACGGTCTTTTGATGTATGTAGTCATTTGTCTTCTAAATTATGTTTTAAATTACGAAGTATTTCAAAATTACTAAAAGTAAATATTAATGAGTTAACAAATTTTAGTGTATTGTGATGTTGGATATATGCACACACATA